AAAATTGTTCCATTCGCCGCTTATCCCTTTTAGTATCATGTAGTTCATGTTTACCACTGTTTTGAAGTAAAGGTTTTCCAACCTCCTTGGTTGAATTCGCCATATCTATCAACAATTTTTCAGAGCTAAGATTTTTTTGACGCCTTATTCATTCTAAACAGCATGGATGCAATGATTGGAGGAACGTATCCTTACTAATATGATCAATTTAATGGTTTTCACTCGGGGATCTCTGGTCAGTGAATGTTTCTGTCTCATAAAAATATTCTTGTTCTAGTTGATTCAATAGGATATTGTGTTTTTTGTGTTTATGTTTAAACTCACTTCTAACTTGATTCCCTTCTAGATATTATGATTGTTAAGTGGATATGTTAAACTCAAACTGTAGTTCGTCAATACACATTTACAAAACCATCAACTAACCTACTTCATTACCCAACTAACTATGGCTACTTCACCAATGCTCAACATTATCAGAGATATCACTAATAAATATAACAGAAAATCACAAATAAATGACTTCATTTTATTAACAGAGGAAAATAAATTGCAAGTCCTATTTAAATAAAAAGTAGTATTTCATTTTCGTTTTTATTTACCCTGTGTAAATTATATTCATTTAATGGTATACACAAAGCAATTTCTAGTGAATATATATATATATATATATATATATATATATATATATATATATATATATATATATATATATATATATATATATATATATATATATATATATATATATATATTTAAAACGAAAGACATCTACTAACATGAGAAAATATTTCTAGAATGTGTATATGATTCAATTATAATTGATTACTAATATATGTAAACGGCTCCCATTGGAGCCATGTTACAAAGGAATGTAAATCAGTCATAATAATGACAAAATTCTAAATTGATCAGAAGAAAAACTAACTGATAAACCATCTAAAAACGTTCCAAATTATAGTTCAAAGTTAAACAGTTAGCGTATATCAATTGAAATAAACGTCAAATAATACCCTAATAAACACTTTTACAGATGTTATAAGAAAATCCATTCAAACTGTTTAGTGAAATCATTAGTTAGGCTGATCAACCATATTGCACTTTAACTCTGAAGATCTTTAAGTTATTATTATCATTATTGAAGAAATGTAGTAGTTTATTGATAGGTGCTTTGTTTTACTTATTGTTTTCTGATGAACTTGACATTGAACATGGAGGTAGGTGAGATGGGAAAGATATCGGGTGGACAGGAGATGTATATATAACATTACTTGGAATATTACAGTTACTATCAAGGTGAGTAGTATCCAGTAATTTCGATTTGATAGGTTCAAATGTGATGCTTTTATGATCATCATTTAATAATAAAGAGTCTGACTGTTGAATTTGTGAGTTAAGACGTATGATTAATTTGTATAATTCATCAATTGCATTTGCCTGCATTAGAATGTAATTTTTTGCTAATAACAATGTAGCGATTTTTGACAGTTTTCTTACAGATGGACTGTGTGCATACGGGATAACACTGCGTAAATCATCTAATGCATCATTTAAATCATGCATTCGTCGTCTTTCTCTAGCATTTATACTTAAACGAGCATTTCGTTGATGATGATGCTGAATGTGATGTTTAGTTACATTTCTTGAATGGGCATTTGAAAAATGATGACGGTTTAAATATGTTAATGAATGAGATGTTGTTGTTATTAATGATGAGGGAGATGAAGATGATAACGGCGTTGTTAATTTCCATAGTAGATCATTTTTCTTTCTATCATAAGAGGTTCCGCATTTAATACTTGGGAATAAGATAAGGTCATCATTATTTTTTTGTGATTGAGTGGGATCATGTGAAGTAGTAGTAATAGTGGTGAATAAACAACTATCATCAATATCGTATATTTCATCCATTTATGATAATTATAAATGGAATTAATCTGTAGCAGTTTGAAACTTCCTCACATCGTTCTCATCGTACATTGGTCAGGTCTGTTGACCAATCAGAAAAGGACTATGACAAGATGTCAACCAATCACATCTATTCGATAGTTTAGACGAGGTTAACTATTCGTTACAAGGCTGGTTAATTATATTTCTATTAAATTACTGTATTCTCCACAAAACCTCTTTCTGATATTTCTATTATACAGAAATAAAATTAGTTAGGGAGTAGACTAGGATATGCAGAAGTTCAATGAAATCTTTGGTAATGGAAACGCAAGTATCAGTGTCTCTAAAAGATCATGAAAAGAACATTCATATTTTCAGTATTGTTAATGTTTATATTACCAGTAAATCCTCGTCGTTATAGACTAAATTTGATCTGAATAGAATGTTGACCGATTAATAAATTAATGACTACGTAAGCGAATTCTACCAGTTTTAAACAAATAATTTCGAAATAGTTTGGTACTGGGTATGGTGAATCGTAAAAATAAAACTTTCTACGAAAACCATAACTGAAATCAAACTATCCAGATGTTTCTTTACACAGTTTGGTTCGACCTTCTTCAAGAAGATAATCCCAAATATAAAATATAAGTAAGGTCGAAAAACAACTATGAGTTAAGCGACTGTTTAATCATGTTAGAATTTTGAATATGGTTCGATGTAACAATGAATTAGTGTAAATAACTTACATTCGTTTGTAAAAGTAGAAATGTTGATTCGTTACTCTGCAGTGAGTGTTAAACTGGAAATTCGACCATAATAAGGTAGGTTATCCTGGGATTTGAGTTGCATTACAATCGCTGCCGAAAGAATAATCTTTAAGAGTCCTATATTCGGCACCTTAATAGACACTGTGAACAAACCGGGAATATACAAATGGTTTGAAAAAACTCATTTCATCCCACTTAATCTGTTGCATGGTGAATAAAGCTTCAGATGATGGAGATGTGAAGCTCTCTTCTGATATTGCTTAAACAGGCAATGACAATTTTCTGATTAGAACATTTAGCTCAGTTAATTCAACACCACCAAGAGTATTCAATAACACATATATTGCATGCAACTGAAACTATCTAGTGAATGCGATCGACTCTGAACTCAAAACCCCTTTAGAGAGATTTTCAATGCCCGAAGATTAATTTGACCCAACATTCAACTGAACTTCTTTATTTGAGAATGAAAACAGGTGACTAGAAAACCATTGTTTCCGCTTGAACTCAAGATACACAATCTTGGTTATGATCCATAAACAAACCAGCCAGAAAAGTAACCGAAACGTCTACCACCCAGATTTAATCTGACCATGACATAGTACGTTATTATCTAAAACGAAATTGTGCTCCATTTATGGGCATGACTATTTCGCATTAATTTTGTTTTTTATTGTTTATTAATGTTCGGTATGTACATATTTCATTGTTAGTTTTTCCAACTTGGCTTTAGTATATATATATAGTGAGTATTAACATTCACTATTAATGTGCTAATTTTTTCAGTGAATACATTTGGAACTTCTTAATTATGTCAAAAAGGAACGAGTACTATCAACAATTTAGAGATCTAAAGTTCACATATTTCTGGGCATGTTATGCATAATAAAATAAATCAATCTTACATTTTGGTTTAAAATGATTTTCGTTCAAATGACTTCCATTATATTATATAATTCAATGCGATTTTTTATTCAAGCAATATTTGTTAGGTTTTACAAAATCTTTAACTAATAATCGGTATACCATTAAATGAATTCGAATAGAAATTATCCTAATTCTTCTTGGGTTCTCATCAATAAAGTTTTTAGATTTATTGCATTTTTGTCTCAAATAAGCAAATAGAGAAGAAAGAGGATAGAAATCAGTCTTGTTCATCGCCATTTGAAGTTAGAATAACGAACTACTGGCTCAGTGTATGATTGTATCACATATTTGTTTATAAATGAAGAACTGATGCTACCGTCCCAGTTCTACCAAATTTTTATTTCACATTTATTAATTTTTGTAGTTTCCTTGACATAACAACAACGTAAAATAACCACATTCAAAAGTATAATCAAGATTTAATATAACAAGAGTAAGAAAAAGAGAATTCAGGGAAGAAACTTTTCTTTTCGACGAAATCATTTACTTAAGTTGTACATTCGTATATATAGTTATATGGAAAAATATATCAGAAGGGGCTTTGTAGACATTTTAGTAATTTCAATAGTTGAAATCATGAGTCAATTGAAGCTAGACAACCGTGGAAAACCTGGAAGCACTGAACGGCCGTTTTGTCATAGCATGGGACTCCTCAGCAGTGTGCACCTACGATCCCGCTTCCCGCGAGATTCGAACCCAGGACCTATCAGACTCGCGCACGAGCGCTTAACGATTAGACCACTAAGCCGGCATCCAACAATGTTAATGTCCAATTTCAACTAATCCACGAAGTTGCGCCACCGTACACTATTGTCTTGATGGTGGTCTAGCTTCAGTTGACTCGTGAATTACTAAAATGTCTACAGAACCCCTTCTGATATATTTTTCCATATAACTATATATACGAATGTACAACTTAAGTAAATGATTTCGTCCAAAAGAAAAGTTTTTTAACTAAATTCTCTTTTTCTTACTTAATAACAAGAATATTATAAGAATGATTTGCTTCTTTAAGGTATAAAAACTTTTTTCTCTCGTTAAACTAAGTTATGCACATTATTCATTCTAATTGAAGTTTTATTAATTAGTTTATATATTCAATGATAAAGAAATATGATTTACTGACTTATATTAACAAATAAGAAGACCAGTTTGCAGATTAAACTCTGGTTACATTTGAAATAGACAAGGCAAAATAAATAGCTTGATTTATTTTTGGTAAAAAAAATACTACTAACTAGCAAAATTAAAATTTTATTCAGCAGTTCAATTATAGATCCGAGTATACAATATGAAAATTATTAAAATTAAACTTAGTTTTAACAAAGATTATTAAGATTTATATTTGAATATATAAGAAAAATATAGAACAAAATTGTATAGAGATGTATGAAAAACAGATCCACTTTTAAGTATTTAGCTAATTTTTGGTGTAATGAATCCAGTTAATAAACCGCTATCCGGGCTAGGCTTTAAAATAATCTTTTGAACATCACGAAATTGAGGATGATCAGAACCACAGAGTATAGTTAATAAAGCTGATTCACATGTAGTCAAATAGACACCTGATTGACTCATTCGTTGAAATCCAAACATTCTACAATACATGTATACAAAGTATGAGAAACTAAAATAGATTTCCAGTGAATTTCATTTTGTTGTATCATGATATTTAAGAAACAAGACAAAATATAGTTGAAATATTAGGCTAAATATTGGAATACAGTAGTGCAACATTTTGCGGTTCGTCGAGACTACTAATGATATGTACGCTTCCTAAATGAGTTCTCAAATCAGCTACTTGAGTAAGTAGAAAGATTTCTATTGACCAACTAAATCGGAAGTACATGCACGAACTAATTCATAAACATAGATACATATCCCTCAGAAAACTAAGCGATAATTTTTCAACTATTAGCGTATTCCTAATACATTAGAAAGTCAACCCTAATCTTGACCAATAGTGTGAGTTTGTCAGCATCTTTCATTGACTATTTAGTTTCTATCTAACTGGCCCAGTGTATTAATCAGGCAATATAATCTCATGAGTTTATATCTATAAATCTAGGCTGGTATGATGGAATGAGTATTATACTGAGCACAGTGTGAGACGACTTAGTGGTTGGAGAACCCAACTTCTAGCCACTTAAATGTAGGATAAGGGTGCATAAAGATTAAACGATGCTACAAAAATAAAAGTAACTGATTAAGTCTTTAAATTATGGTTTAAACTAATCTTATGACATTCTGATGATTTAGTAACATTTTAGATTTTAATAGTCATCAAAAACCCTATCAGTGATTTAGCTCAAAATAATTCAAAGTTCTTATTAAGAGATTCTTGCCTTAACTACACCAATACCGGAGATGAAATTGTGAAATAAGACAATTGTTACCAATATTAATCAAAAGAAAAAAGTCAATTAAATCATCAGTGAAACGATAGTAACTCTTTAATGACTGAATGAGGATATCCTCCCTTAAATATTTACTGAACTCTGAATTATTGCCTAAAGCTAGAGTAGTCAAATCGAGAACTCAAAATATTGATTTTCACTCTGACTGAAGAGGAGGGTCTATATTACTGAATAGAACGAGACAACCGTCTCATACTTCCTTATTTTTAATAATTATCCAGCTGATATCAAACTGAGATAGTCTAACGACAGAAGCACGAACTTTTCAACGAATTAATGGTTTCAGCTATCATAGAAATTGATTTTAAGTGATATTTTAAAACTCCTAGGCTTTATGATTAAAAAGAGGCTTTATTAGTAATCTTTTTTAAATTGTTGGTTTTTATAAAATTGCGGTATCTAAACAGCTTTAGATGGTTTATTACATAAACTTAATTACGGTCGAATGTATAAGATAATTATCTGTTACATAAGTGTAAAACATCTTGTACATTAATATGATATAAACAGATTAGTTACCTGTCAACCATATTTCGTGAAGATACAGCATCTACAATACAATGAACTTGTATTCCCCGTTCAATTAAATCTAATGCAGTTGACTGAACACAAACATGTGTCTCAATACCACATAATAAAACAGAATTGATTTGTTTTCCCAGCTCCAAAACATTAGCTACTTCATCTGTTAGCATAGAAAATGATCTCTTTGAAATGATGGGAATGCCACTTAAATCTCCTAACTCTTTGACGGTAGGACCTAAACCTGAATAACGAAAGGGTTTCCAAAGTATTTTAATAGTAAACTTCATAAAGGATGTACTGAACAGCACTATCGTTGGAAAAAACATAAGTTTAGCTATTACTTTCAATATAATATTTTACTACCTACTTTTCAAGATCATGTAAACAGTTAGCATTACTTATATGTAGACTTTTATAGAACAATAAAAGTTCTGTTGTAAAAACCAGTCTTATTTTCTCACTTAAAAGTCCAATGATTTGTTGTTGTATAAGTTTACGCGGTCAATAATAATCGCATTATATACGTCTACTGATTAATGTTATCACTAGATCTTTACATTCCAGTGCAAAGCATAACAAGTATATTGCCCAAAGTAATTGTAACCTTAGGAAACCCAAACAGGTTAGATTAAGTAGACAATATATTGTGTCTAACTCTGTCCAAAACATGTGACGAATGTATAGGATTTCTGACTGAACAAGAGAAAGAACTAATTTAAACGGCACAATTACTAAACGTCTGGACTTTTACTACTATCAACGTTGTGAAATTTTCTTCCACATGATATATATATATATATACTTACAATATTTTGTTTAGTCTGTAAAATTTGTTTACACCCTTGGTATAGAATACTGATGTGTGATCTAAATCAACAACATAATGTGAACCCATTCCGCAAGTAGTTGTAAATATCACAAGTTGTAATCAGCTGAGGAGAACCAAACGAAATAAGAGGGATTCGTGCTATTGAGCTCAAATTTTTGTTCTTACCCTCTTTAATATGATAAAAGGAAGTACGTTTATGGGAAAAACCCCGTTATTATCTGAACTATATACTATAAGCGCTACTTTTGTCATCAGTTTTTGTTTGGTTTATTCTTCCTTATCTCTCTTGTAGAATTTGACAACTTGAAATTATACACTAATATTGGTTTTGTCTGTTGGGTGACATTTTCTACTTAGATTTTTAAATGGTTTATTTATGTAAAACTTCCTCACATGTTTGGTTTCAATTTGTTTGTGAACGTTTGAAACAATAATCGTCGCTGAACTACCTAGTAATTCCGAATGTTTCTACCATGTCAAATAAAAAGGCGTAAGCTTTATCAGTCATTGAGGGGAATTAGTTTGGATGCAGCGATAATATAATCACTGTACTCCCATTTTAAGATGCTTTTTATCAACATATGTAATACATTTTTAATAGAGTTCAGGTTATGCAAGTTCCAAAGAACAATGATAAATGACAATTAATTTTACGAGGCGCAACTGTTATCTTGAATTATAACACCACTAAGACAGATTTTCAATTTACCACTTCGCTGAAACACCCACAAAAATGTCACCAGGTTTATTATTTATATATTTATTTATTTGAACACAAATATTAGTACGAAGGGGCACAAAATACATATACGCCACACAAGTCTCTTGACTGGTGTGTGGGCTATGATACTGCCCGGGTGCCCAAACCGAAGCAGGTGATTTTCTTAGGGAGCCACACCCGGAGCCTTTGACCTAGAAGTCTGATTCATGGGGTAGTGGAGCAATGTCAGGAGGTACTTTCCCATGGTAGCCGGTGACCAACGATTGATTCATACGCCATTTATTCCTTCAGGATACTGGAGCCCATTTGCCCCATTGGTTTGGAATCAGGGTTTTCAACTCCCCTAGGTGGATCCTCCGTGTTCACTACCCCAGTTAAGGCACCGGACATTGGCTTTTCGTTCTCTCAATTTCGTAAACAACACCCGCTCTGCGAGTAGGACTTTCCTGACAGTGGCTGTATACGCGTGGCCATGTAAAAGCATTTCGAGAGGGAGAGCTGACTCTCCCCATCCTCGGCCGTACCAGAGCATTTGGGGGCACCAGGATTACACAAGAAGACTATTTTGTAAATATACGAAGATTATGTCGATCATTGTTCTAACAGAGGATAATTCCCAGAATATGGCCAAAAAATACAAATCTTTATGGTTTCGTGCAAGCTTAAACCAATAGACATCCCAATACAGAACAAAGAAATACCTCAAATACGAATAAATCGAGGTGTTACAGTTAACGCTTTTTATACAAAATATCTCACAAGAATATAAACCACACTTTAAAAACATGCTAGAATACTATTCTTCCCAAAACACACCTTTAGGGTACATTTCAGTGACTACAATGCGCATTCCTAGCATTCGAGCAGCTGTTAACATCCGACTAGACGTTTCGACAATTGCATCAAAATGACTAATAGTTGGACGAAATTTTTCCTGTATATCACATAACAATAAAGCAGTACGTGGTAGTAATAGTTTGCCAACTCGTGAAATGCCAGACATAATACTGCAACAGAAATAGTATACAACACAACTTTTATGTTATATCGACAAAAGGTAATCAAAAAAACACGTCTAACGATCAACAAAGAGAGTATATACGTTTATTAAAATTAGTAGCGAACACGTCATTTGAAGCGGTGGAAATAAGAAAATCGCTGCTAATGTCACAGGTGTGAACTATTTAGAAGTCAAACGCAATGTAGATCCTAGCACATGAGATTAGGTTGACATACCACACTAGTACAGCGAGATGAAATTGTCAGGGCGAATCCCAGAGGTAGCAACAAAATCGATAAAAACAGAAAAATTAAGCATCGAAAATACAAGTTGAGAAAATAAAAGTTAGTGAAATCATAGACACTTAGGATCTAATTGAAGACAAAGAGTGAACGCACCTGCACTATTGCAAACAATTTTGAGCCGTGCCGTCCAAAGTTTCTGACCATTGGTTAGTGCTTTATGATTCACAATGATTATCAAGTTACAGTTGGTCTGAAATGCAAACTCTTTAAATATTGATTAAACAACCACCAAAGGCTTCCTCTCAACCATATAAGTGAACACACGTCGGGGGACCGAAACACAGATTTGTTCGCGAAAGCTAGTTAACGTTTAGCTACAGACTTGTAAGTTCTAACCCTGATTAATTTATTTTGGTTTAATTTTGCTCAAATAGAAGAATCTGTTACGACTACTATTGAATGGGTATTTCGTCGATCCGATGTAATCTACATGTTCAGACCAAAAATTAAATCGAGAACAGTCGTTGCGAGTGAAAAAGCCCTTTACATAAGAGGATATACCCAGAATTGTCTTAACGTACCGACTAAGTTGAACTACTTTGAGGATAAACGATGCTAGTCAGTAATGATCATCTACCCAGAAACCGGTTGACCATTGTATTCAATTCTATTCAATTGATTCAGAGGAGCTATTTAGTATGGTCCATGTGTTACAGAATGTGCAATCAGGAAAAAGGTGAAGAAATTTATAAATATGACTATCATTTATCACCTGATAAATAAACGTAAGAGGAGCTTCTCAAGTTTTATGTAGTGTCTTAAGTACGTTTCTAAAAGGGACACTAAGTTGAAGAAACCTGGTAAACAAAGAACATTAGGCTTCTTGATCTACACTGCATTACAATTGGCTAATCTCATTTTTGATCAGAATGGTTAATTTTAGTGAGCCAGATAAATGCAACGTAGATTGGTTAATTTAACTACATATTATAAGCTCCTAACTAAAAATTCACTATTTTCCGTTTTTAAAATTGCAGATCTTAACTTGAGGAATTTGCAACACCAATGCAGCTACAACATTTATGTATGTCATACCGATTACAATATTAAATTAACGAATTAATACTAGTGTTCGGGGGTAAAGTTGGAGAAAATGAGAATCTAGTTAAGGATTCATGATTTTTTAATATCTTACCGAGATCTGTAAATTATTTAAATTTAAACGGTCTAGCTTCTCTTAATTTACTAACTAGTAGCTGGCCATACAAAACGTATTAATGACTTTATTTATTTATTTATTTGGACACATGAATATTGGTACAGGGGAGCGCCAATATATATGCGCCACACAAAACAATGAAAATTCGAGAGGAATACAAAAAAAAAAAGCTAAGGAGCGCAACAAAAAAAAAGAGAGAACAATAACGAAGAGATTGGTGTAAGGTAATGTGCTAGTAATCAGGGAACGCAAAGGTACAATCGGAAAAAATCTTTCAGGTAAGGGAGACACAACCACTGTTTATGAAGAAAGTAAAAGAAGGTTACAGCAGGATCGCCACTGGCTTCTATTCTGAGCCATATCTGATAACGTCTCTAGCCACTGTGTAGCACCATCTCTCAGACCCCAACCAGGGAGTCGTGAAGGACCAACAGAAGCCAGTCCTTTGCAGCTTTCTTTCATACCACGACACCATGTCATGCACTGACCACCTCTCCGCTTCTTCCAACCAGTCCCAGAGTCGGCAAATAATGCACAACGTGGAATTCTCTGGGACGACATTCGGAGAACATGTCCAAGCCACCGAAGTCGGTGTTTCAAGATGGTGACACCAATTGAATTATCATCTCTGTGCCCGAACACACGATGCCGAACCTCTGCATTACTGACATGGTGTTGCCACTGAATGTCAGCAATCCTTCGGAGACAGCGACGATCGAACACAGAGAGTCGTCTAACGTCCTCAACTCGGAGAGGCCAGGTTTCACAAGCATAGAGCAAAACTGCTCTCACCGACGCGTTGTAGATCCGACCTTTTACGGCCAGACTAACATCACGAAGGCGCCATAGATGGCCCAGATTGGCATAAGCCGCTCTGGCTTTCACTATTCGTGCATTGATCTCATCACTCACACCCCCACCAGCACTTATGCAGATACCTAGATACACGAACTTCTCGACTACTTCTATCTGCTCACCATCCAGGGTGAGTACAGGATTGGAATCCTGCCAGTCTTGTAGGAGTACTTTGCACTTCGAAGGTGCAAAGCACATACCATACCTACGGACATTGATTGCCAACTGATTAAGTGCGGATTGCATGCCTTGGGCATTATCGCACAGTAAGACAATATCGTCCGCATACTCAAGGTCGAGAAGTCTTTCTCCAGACAACAGATCCACACCACCATTACTCACATTCATCAGAGCTGTTTCCAGAATGTCATCGATGACAAAGTTGAAGAGGAATGGTGAGATTGGGCAACCCTGCCTAACCCCACTACTCGAATGGAACAATGGAGAAAGGTGGTTGTATGCCCTCACTCTGCCTGAGGTGTTTTTATATAGGGCTTTTAGGATGTTAATAAACTTCTCAGGCACACCCTTCTTCAATAGACAATCCCAGAGAACAGTTCAGTCCAACGAATCGAAGGCAGCCCTGATGTCAAGAAACACTACGATTGTTGGCCTTTGATAAGTATGGCGGTGTTCTAACATTTGGCGGAGGGTGAAGATATGATCAATACATCCTCGACCAGAACGAAAACCAGCCTGCTCCTCGCGAGTCAATCTTTCTCGGGTTTTGAACAACCTACGAAGTATGACGGAAGCCAATAGCTTGGACGCAATCGGAAGTAAACTTATCCCCCGATAGTTGTTACAAGAACGACGTGAACCCTTTTTAAACATAGGGACAACTATCGACTCATTCCATGACGTTGGTACACTCTCTAGATCCCAAACCTTTGTAAACAACGTCGTCAATTCCTTAGTCAAAAAGTCACCACCATCTTTAAAAAGAGCCGGAGGTAAGTCATCTGGGCCAGGTGATTTGTATCGCTTCAAGAGTTGGAGTTCCTTGCGGACTTCCTCCTCGTTTGGTGGAACAGTCGTCACCGGCCATGGAGGGCAGGACAGTCTGACTGATGTTGCCTGAGCAGCAGGCCAGTTGAACTGCCCTTCGAAAAATTCTGCCCACCGTCCAAGACGTCGATGGATGTTAGTGATTGGCATCCCATCATCCTCGCAGATTGTTTCACTCACACCAGACTTCTTGCTGCCAGTGGCTCGGATGAGCTGGAAGAGCTTCCGGTAATTACCAGATGCAGCTACTGCTTCCAGCTCATTAGCACGCTTCGACCACCAGGCTTCTCGGTCCTTACGCAAGCTTTGCCCGATTTCCTTACGTAACATCCTTCGTTTATGGTCAAACTCACGGTCACCCGGAGTAGACCGACGGGCTTCAATGAATTGTAAGGAACCTGCAGAAACCCAGTGCTTAAAAGCGGGATGTTTCGCGAACCCACAACTGACTGTTCCCGCCATTTTCATGGCGTCATGCAATTGCAACCAATGCTCATCCATAGTTTTCGGTGGAATGGTAGCTAGCCTAGAGGCTAGCTCGGTTCGATACTTACTTGCAACAGAAGTTGCAACCAGCCTGCTAATATCAATCCGTTGATGGCGGTCACTTCGTTGTCCACTGAAAAGTAAGGCAAGATTGGCGCAGACCAAGGCATGGTCAGAGTCCAGATAGGTACTCCAAAAGGAGCGGCAGTCTCGTACACAACCACGCCAGCGGTAGCTGATCGCGATGTGATCAATCTGAGTCCAGGCTTGGGATGCAGAGGGAGGACGCCAGGTGGCACATCGGCGATGACTGTGCCGAAAGTTAGTGCTAGCCAGAAACAGGTTGTGGTCTGTGCATAGTTGCAGTAGACGGTCCCCGTTATCTGACCTGCGACCAACGAGTCCCCATCGGCCACCTAAACGACTCTCTTCTGTGCCTAGACGCCCGACCTGAGCATTCAAGTCTCCGGCTAGTACTACAATATCTGTCGAACGCACTTTCTGGAGAAGAACAGATAATTGGTGTTAAAACTCATCCTTGATTGCATCCGGGCTGCAATCTGTCGGGGCATAGGCGGAGATGACGAAAAGACATCGTTTCTCACGCCGATTTCTTCTCACTCTGATGGAACTTTCTAATCTAACAGCACATAACCGACTGTTAATGGGGATCCAATCGACTAGTGCTGCCTCAGCTCCAGCGCTTAGTGCGACACCAACGCCTGCAAGACCAGACGAAGATGCCACAGGGTCCCCGGATAAGCGCACGTAAAACAAGCTTTTTGAAGTGACAGATGTAGAGCGAATTTGCAGTACTTCGCTAGAGTCTTGAATACGGGTCTCGGATAGACAACAAACATCAATATTAAGACTTTCCAAAGACATAGCCAGCCCTATCTGTTGACCAACCTGCATAAGTGTGCGAACGTTGAAGGCAGCCAGTTTGAATGGCGCACGTGGTTTCAGAAAAACTGCTTCAGTACTCATATTCGATGGTAACATACAACTTTCAACCGGACAGTGACTCGAGAACGTTTAGATACAGTCGGATTTCCACCAAAGCCGAGCCGCTGTATAAGTATGAAAGAGGGTGAATAATGTGGGAAATAACAATAACAATAACAATAATAATAATAATAATAATAATAATAATAACAGTAATAATAATAATAATAATAATGACAATAATAGTAATAATAATGACAATAATTGTAATGATAATAATTTGAATCAATTGATTGTTTTTGTTTTTCGGAGCGATAAAAGTAGTTGCCAAAGACATAGAGTTCATTGTTTGTGTGTGGGCTGTGATACTGCCCGGGTGCCCAAACCGAAGCAGGTGGTTTTCTTAGGGGGCCACTCCCCGAGCCTTTGACCTAAAGGTCTAACCCACAAGGCAGTGGAGCATCGTAAGGAGATGCAATCCCATGGTAGCCGGTGACCAAGGATTGGTTCATACGCCATTTGTTCCCGCAAGATACTGGAGCCCATGTGCACCATTGGTTTGTGATCCGGTTAAAGCGCCGGACATTCGCTTTTCGTCCTCTCATTTTTGTAAACAACACCCCCGCCACGAGAAGGCAATGAGTAGGACTTCCCTGGCAGAGGCTGTATACGCGCGGCCGTGTGAGAGTATTTCGAGAGGGAGAGCGGACTAGCTATTTTAGTCATGACGCTGTGACTAACTTTGGTGAATATGATTTGCTACAACAACTGTGTGCTACGGATTTGTTGCATGAACCAAGCCTATAAGTTCGTTTGGTGGTGGGAAATACTTCTGATCAAAACTAGCAGCTGAAATGTCCATCCCTTAATCTGATGCGTCATTATTCATGAACAATACTGGTGGAGGCATTGCCAGTTTTCATTCATATTTGACAGGAGTGACTCATGAATTTACAAAACTTCACATTAAAGGTAGTAAGATTTGCTGTATGACAGGTATTCTACACACACACACACACACACACACACACCGAAAATCACTAGTTAGTTAGCGAAACAGATCAGTTATAAAAATGAGGTCACATATACGAATTCACTCTACTAACTGAAGCTTGGATAGCCAGGCTGTGTCACTATGATAGGTGTACAAGGTTGATAGGCTAAAACTAACAATACAATTAGAGCGTTCACAAGACGGCTTAGAAAAGACCGAATGACTTTAGTTACAGCTTCTAGGTCAACCAAAGGACGTGTTTACTGCGCAGCAGTTCGTTCCGTTCTACTTTGTGGCAGTGAAACATGGCCGGTAAGAGTAGAGGATATTCGTAGGTTACTAGTATTTGATCATAGGTGTCTTCGAAGCATTGCTCGTATATCCTGGGACCATCGAGTAAGTAACGCAGTTGTTAGAAAACGGGTACTAGGTAAGGATGGCAAATCAATTGATGACGTAGTGAAACTTCATCAGTTAAGATGGCTGGGACATGTGTTACGTATTCCCAACCACCGACTGCCTCGACGTGCGATGTTCAGTGGTATAGGAGTAGGTTGGAAGAAAGCTAGGGGCGGCCAGACCAAAACATGGCACAAGTCCATGAAGTCACTGACAAGTGGACTGTGTCATGTCGGTAGGTTAGACTACCTGGTTGGGGACCGCGAGATGATAGCAACCGATGGTTAGAGACCTTGAATGACATGGCTCAACATCGTTTGCAATGGTGCAGGTGCATCCACTCTCTGTGTTCTCCCAAATTCTAATCTTCTGAATTCTTCATGTCCCTTTTTTTCCTCTTTTCAAATTTATTTCACTGGATTATACTCTTTAAATAACATCTCCAAACCCTAATCTTTCCGATTACTGCTTATACTTTTACTACCTCTACCACTATGGGATTTGAATCGACAACTGCATCTCTGTGCTATGTGGTATGGCAACTCGAACTGATGTACGTGCGTACGAAGTTCTACGTTGTTACTGACTGACTGACAGCTTCTAGGAGTAAACAGTATCCAAGATTTCAATGCGCTCTATTGTCTTTGTACACCAATTGATCGTAAGAGTACCCCTTTGAGTTGAATAGCTTAGCTGTTAGTGTCAAGCAATATGTTCTAGTTCTTAGCGCAGATGGATATGCTGAATAACCAAAATTTTATTTATTTATTTGAACACATAGATATTGGTACAAGGGGGTATCAAATACATATGCGCCACACGAATCTCATTCGATATGTGTGAGGGCTGTGATACTACCCGCACACCCAAACCGAAGCAGGTGGTTTTCATAGGGGGTCACACCCGGAGCCTTCGACCTGAAGGTCTGATCCACAAGGCAGTGGAGCATGGTAAGGAGATGAAGTCCCATGGTAGCCGGTGACCAACGATTGGTTCATACACCATTTGTTCTCGCAGGATACTGGAGCCCATGTGCACGATTGATTTTGTTGGGTTCCGGTTAAAGCGCCGGACATTCGCTTTTCGTCCCCTCATTTTCGTAAACAACACCCCCGCCACGAGAAGGCAGTGAGTAGGACTTCCCTGGCAGAGGCTATATACGCGTGGCCACGTGAGAGCATTTCGAGAGGGAGAGCGGACTCTCCCCACTCTCGGCCGTACCAGGGCATTTGGGGGCGAATAACCAAAAACAAAGAATACGACTATACAACTATTGGAACATATGTTTCATATGCGTTTCTTGGGTAGCAACAATACCCAAAGGTTGAGAAGACCAAAAACGACTCGATATAATTTGAAAACAACCTTGCATGTCAAGGAGATATGCATTTGTTGGTTCAAGGTATGTGAAGAACACAATGTTGACATGACAAATTCATGATATTGAATCACTAAATAAACAATTTTAAGTAACTGGTATCCTTTATCAGATGTGGAATGGATCAAAATCGATTACAATGGAGAAGACGTACTCTTTATTATCCTATCTTATAACTCTTTAGTCGTTTGTTAATCGTCTATTCGTACTTTACTTATTTGTTTTTTCCTCCGTCTACATATATTTCTCCTCCCCTCGACCACTTTATAATACTGAAACTCAAAGCAATATACATGTCTTAGAGATTTTACATAGTTGTACATTATTTTAAGAAAGAAAATACGCACTTTACTTATGGGTTTTTACCACAGATTATTAACTTCGCTTATGCCTAGATGAACGATTTCGCTAACAGTGGTATACTTATTAGATCTTGCACACTTTAGGAAACAGTAACCAAATAGAGGTTAGATTTCCTTTGTATCTTCAATCATTAATTTGTGTGGTCTCGCAAACCTTAGTAAGATATCGTCAAATTCAATACAACTTAAATCCAAAACAACTCCGTAAATCATTGTAATATCATAATACATGTTCAGGGACTTGAATAATTTAGTACTTGAAATCTGTTATTTCAAGTCAAGCTAAGACAACTAAGAATGAAAACTTGTCTTGACACTAGGGTCAATAAGAATACGTTTTGTATGCATGCACTAACCTTTCTGTAAACATACTCATATAAAAATATTTGTCTACCATTTCAAACAGTCTATTGTTACAAAAGCAAACAAACATATATGCACAGGATTAAGTACGACTGAAAAATAGAGAAGTTTCAGAAAAGTATAATTGGACATTATGAAATCAAATCACAACCTCATCAATGAGTCATAGTCTATATATGATTACTATTTATTAATTACATTCAATCTTAAGGAAATTAATTGGTACCAAGCCGCCAACTTGATCACGTTCTCGCCAGACCTCACAGAATCCATCAGGAAGTAGTTTCCTGATTTGAACTTCATCATCGCACTGCAAGGTATAATGTGAATAGTAATTGCAAATAAACTTTATCATTAAATATACTGACATGTACGAAATATCACAAGTTTATTATCAGTATTATTATCACCCTGTAAAAATAAGCATATATATATTTGTGATTGTACAGCTTTGAAAATGAATTCGCCGAAAAGAGAACTCTTCGCTGAACTAATCTTTTTTTCTTATTTAATGTCATAATGGGTGTATTCCGTTTATGTACGAAATAGTTTTAACTTTAAAATGTTGTACGCAACCACCTGGAAAAACGTACAAACTAGGGGGTGCAACCCCACATTCTTCAAGAAAGATTCAAAGGTTAACATAACATTTGTAACTGCAGCTGAGGAATGTAACAAAAAAGTACGCGGTACAAGTTAAATATAGTTTATCAATTGCGGCACGCAGGAAAGCTAATGAGGTTATGGATTAAGAATTTACAGGTTGGTGAACCTGGCCTGTAGTTGCTAAAACAAATAAACAGAGTATGGCCAATACGTGATATGTAGTGGTACAATGTAGACGAGTGATGACTGCCCATGAGACCGGATTACTGACATACGACTGTGAATAATTACAAATTAAATCTAAGAACATTAGTTAGAGGAATAGGGCTTTTTGCCAAATAAAACTACAGGCTTGTATACAAAAGCATTCACGAAAATAACGTAATTTGATGTCATGAACGATCAGACAAAACTAATTTTTTAGGTCTCTCATTCACCGGTGAAGTAGAGCCAAACTGGTAGGCTTCACCATTATATCGGATTTAACAAGGATAGTTTAAAAGTAAGTTACTTGTAATTTCTGCTAGCACAAGCGAAAGGAATTTTTTAATGAGAAATCACCTAAACTAACACCAGGAAAATCCTGATCAATTTGATTACAGTTTTGTAACATACATATTAAGGACCTACAGTACGTCATGTTTCTCAGGCTTTCTGCAGATGTTAGCTACGTAGGGTCTGGGACAAATCTACACAGATATAAATTGTTACGCTTTACATAAGCACATAAGGAGAAAATTAACAAGATGAAGTGGATGAGTTGGACGGAATTAGTAGTAAAATAAATGGCATATAAGCCGAGAACAAAATTTAGATTTCCTAGAAAAACAACAGAGACGTCATGGAAAGGAAATGAACTATGGTTTTGAGGAATATAAATTGGGATTTAAACCAAATTTGACCGACACCACTCAGGTTCTATAACCACAGATTAAGATTACCTTGGGAACTTTAACTTGCAAGTCTGGAACTGCTTGCACGACTTAGTATAATGGCCAATGGTTTCATGGACTGATGCTACATTTTGGTCAAGTTACATACAATCATTTCCAACCTATTTCTACTTCACAGTAGGTGATGCGTGAGATATACTACATACCCTCAGGCACCTTGGCCAATAAAGACTGAAGACTGTATTGGCTATTTGATTTTGCTACACATAAAAAATAATTTGAAGAATCATACAAAGGAATACCAGCAACTTAAATTCATTCCCAACCGCAGACTGAAAAACAACTCTTTGGATTACCGTATTATTTAATCTACAGCATGTAATATCGTAAAGTGATTTAAATATAACGTGTTGAACATCTTAAAAACGAACTAACCTCCACTTTCAAGTGATTTGTCGCGAAGATACTGGGATTTCTAGCCCTTATAACCTTTCCAGTAGCCGGTAACTGAACAGATTTCAGCATATGACAATAGGTTAATCCAAGTTGGTCACCAAGACCCTTTAGTCTTGCAACAATTTCAGGTGTAAACTAGGAAAAAAGGGGTGTCATGGATACGTCAGTAAATAATATGAAGGATGTTGTGATGGTAATAAAATTTATGGGTGACTTTTGAACGATGCTAGCGATATTGAGACAACTCATCTACTTACCAGGGTCAAAAGAGGACTAAAAATTAATATGAGCAATTAGGACTACGACTTACGGTTAGAAATCAAAGTAAGGGTTTTCATCACGAACTGGCATCAGCTATAATCAAAAATGCCATTTAATTATATGGATGTGTAGATCTTGAGCTAAAATCCAAGACTTCATATCCTTATTTTCACTGGTTTGTCCATAAATTATGGAATCGCCGATATTGTTGACAGGTTTAGTCCAGTATATTTTTTAAAACAAACCAAGTCTGTAAGTTAACGTAACCGAGACGTTATAGCAGATGTTATATCTAGTTGCGGCACAGTAGACCAAAAACGATTTGCGGTTGAGCGATGAGACTGGTTCTCACAAGCGGAAAGCTGGCTTGGTGATCAAAGGGCGGCCTGCTTGAGCATCTGGGCTACCTGTTCCTGCCATCTAGATATTTCAACAAGTTATCTATTTTTGTTTGTTTCAATATATCATTATGTTTATTAATCGCATGACCTATTCTGCTGCGTTTCTGAAAAGTGTACAACCTTTCGTTGTCAAAGTTACAGAAAACTCAATAAGAGACAATGTGGTTGCTGGCAATATATAGCGAAAAGAATACACATTATCCAGATGTTCATTTACTGAACTGCTAACATCTAACTGGCGATCACTCAATATTTATCGCCAGGACCAACCAAGAAGAAAGAAACGGAAACTTGTTGAAATGCTTCACGCTGAGAATTCTACATTGTACCAAAAATATAATATTGAATAAAGCTGATAATAATAATAATAATAATAATCAGTACCTAAATCCCAACAACTTGATTGAGTTATCCTGTATTTACCCCAGGTACGACAGTCGAGCATTTATACAACCCTTTAGACGAAAAATTAGATCAAAACTAGATACATGAACATTTATCTAGTTTCTAGGACTTGCTGAGTTAAGTTGTAACGCGATAGGAAATTGTAAAACAGTGGTCAGTATAACACTGAGATTTGAGGTGAGGCATCATCATGACATTAAAGCTATTTCCAAATTATAGATTGCGTGCAGTAAAAACACGGGAAAATTTTATCATTAATCCAAAGAAACTACATTACTCACCGGAGTTAAATAATTTGAAGGAACCCAACCGATACGGTTATCGCCTGATTTACATAGAATCCACTCCCGCTTTTGTCTTATGAATGTTAACAAATCTCCCCTCTGAAAAGACAAATCTCCCTCTTCCTAGAAAATAACGGGAAGAGAGAAGTAATAACCTGTGCTTGAAACGAATATAAAGCAGCATAAGTAGCCTTCTGGGCTGGCTGTCTCATACGAGTACTCGAAGAGTGTGAAGTATGAAGTCTAACCAACTCATCGAGCGAAGAATAGAGAGTGTCGCCAAACTTGAACTTTTTTAGTTGAGGTGCCCATGTAAGTAAGTAACGCTTGACTTCGTTGGCCTCTCTGATTATTAGCACGTAAAAATAGACATACTTTATCGCAAGCACGTAACCTGACTTTGTAGTGCTGTCACGTATCAGGAATGTTCCAACAGGCTGATCAATTAGAATCTCATTAGCTTTTTCTCTGCTTATTTCACCAAAATACCACCTACAATATCGAAACAAATCATATAAACTAACGGAGCATCTGGAACTAGTTCGACCGCCATTTATTTCAAGGTCAGCCTTCAGTAATAAGGATAGGTCTATCGACCTATATTAATCATTGCAGTTTGTAATACTGCGGAGGTCCAATCTCGTTATGAATATATAAACAGAAGGTGCTGATATTACGTGTTCCGGTAGAGAATTCCAGTAATTCACTACTCGATGCGAGAAACGAAAATCCAGACGAAAACCATTTGATCTCGGTTTTTTGAACTTTCTTCGAATGTCCTCTCAAATGATCAGTCCTAGACGGAAGTAAAAGATAAGAAATGTTAATAACAAAGTCATCATTCAGTATACGATAGGCCAATATTAGATCACCTCGTGTTCTACAGTAAGATAACAGAAATTAGTTAAGGTGTATCAGTCTGTCTTCATAAGATAGGTCAGATAGACCATGTATCATCTTAGTACCTCATCGTTGGACTCTTTCCAGAATCTCCACTTCATACATGAAACGAGGACCCGCTGCTTGAATCCCATATTCTAAATGTGGTGGCACATAATTCGGGTATAATAATCTAAACATTTCATCATATAAATACTGGAAAGACCTACGAATAGACCATAATACCCTATAGCCTTTCGCAGCAGCAGCCTGACAGTGACTAGAGATTTTGATATCACTGCTTAATATGACTCCCAAATCTTTACAGTTTCTTACTTTGGGTAGCACGACCGTTGTTGCTACCTTGACGTGGTGGTCGGGCTTGTCTATCGTGATGAAGCAACCGAGCTATACTGACTGGAACAACTGTTCCTCAAGGTCCTACCATGTCAGACAGGTCGGTTGAAGAGCGGTAAGACTAAAAGCAACAAACTCAAGGTCCGAAAGCGAAGTCGTACTGCTGACTGTACAGAGGTGTGACAGTAGTAAGGTGTTTCCTTCAGACAACCAGCATGACAGTGATGTTGCCTTCCCACAAGGAGGGGTGTGGTCAGTAAAAGTCGACCCTAAAAATGCACACCTCGCCTTATCCCACGGATATCCGTCTCCGGCGGTAAGGTCTTGTAGTGGCATTGAACAATAACCACACAATCCACAAAGCTGTAAACACGAGACTACTCAGAAAATAGATATTCAATATTTAACTCGGGGAAATACCTAACAATGGAGAAGGCGCGGAGAGTGAATTGAATGAATTGGAGTTGATCGGATGGCATGGCTCGACCATGCAGGCGTGGTCCATCTGAATGTTACCTTATATCTTCTATTCATATTGAATATATTGTTCCTTCTCTAGCCTAACCTTGTTCTACATCATGTATTGGTAATTGATACGATACAGTGAGTTGGTGTAGTCGATGGTGTGACTTGCACGTAAGATCTTATAGATTAGGCAGTTATATCATGACAAATCTACAAATTTAGGATTAGGTCTATTATAAGAGCAGTACTAATATCATAGTAGACCATAATTCTACATTGGTGAGCTCAACTAAAGAAACGCAACCCATTACTGTTAATCCTTATTTCCACCTTAACCTTCTCAATCGGTTTTTGTTTTTGTAAACCCAGTATTCGTATAGTCCTTTGATTAATGGTCACATATATTATCGTAATGTCATATCTGTTAGTTCACATAACTTACTAGCTCAATCGATAATAAAAGTTGATCATCTATATCAACTAATTAGCTTTGATGGTTCGTTAACAAGCTTTAATAGCATTTACCTGCTTCAGCGACATAGACTTGTTTAAACATCAAGCTCTAGCAAATATGACCTGTTAATAGCGTAAATATACATTGACTAACAATGCAATCAAGGACTAAATAGTTATCTGGATCTAATTCTCAGTGTTCCTTCACTTAACACCTCATCCTGTTTTAAACTACGCACTATCCTGTAATATCTTTTCTCCCGACCACTGCCTGCCTAATTTCGTATTCTCGAGTTCCATTGCCAAACAACAAGGATGACACTTCTCCAAAAAAATACGGTGAGTTCCAGCTATAAGTTTTCGGCAATCATAAGTTCATTTTAGATGGTTCATTCAATGGCACACACAATTATCTGGATTCATTCAGTTGTTCTGATCAGGGCGAGTCCCAAAAACCTCAACAGCATCAAGCACCCTGGAAGTGATTGCCATACTGCATGTTTTATTCTGGATGCTTTTGGATCATTACTACTCACGAATGGCGTTACATATGTCGTCCACTGAATAATCTAATTTTCAAAAATAATCCAGGCAAGTTCAACTATTTTACTGGATGATTTTTTTTGTACTTAACATGTATATGATTTCCAGTTGCTTTTGCCACATATTTGTAAGTGTCCCTAGGCTAAATGCAGTAACTTCTTATGGAATGTTTATAACGCGTTACATTCCTGTCTGAAGTTTCATAAGCAGTCTTGACTTTAAATTACTTTTCCTGGTCATGTTCATTATTTTTAAGTTTTTATATACGTCAACAACCTGCATGTTAACCTGGCCCGTACATACGTTACACTATATCTTCATATCTTTTGAATTTAGAAATCATCTGAATCGCCTTTAACATTTATCAATAAACCCATCATAGTCGTTGTTGCTAATCGTATTTGGGTTTATGGTTTGGTTTATCATATTAGCAGCCTAAAATGCGAACATAGTTTAGATAATAAGATTAAAAATTTAGGTACTATCAACTGCACTAGTAAAATAACTAAATCCCTAGGTAGCTGTTGGCTAAACAAACGTTTAAAATCAAAACTCCTTAGCCTACTAGAATTAACACTAAACTAATCTTTCTGATATAAAATTTATAATTAAATTAGGCGTCTCGGATTCTTTAACGTTACAAATTTCTGGTAATTTCGAATCACCTAAAGCAACAATACCTATTTTTCCACTGACTAATCCTCATTCAACACTATAACTAGTTAAACATAATAGTTTCAGGATATCGTCATAAAGCATTGTCATGACTTGACAATCACGTAATATGATTGATAATATTAATGAAACTTAACAAAATCGGTCAGCAAATTGACTTATAATTATCACTAGTGTTGTTTTTCTTTTATCTTCATTCACTACAGATGATTGCAGTATGTTTCTCTATCAGATGCTCACTCAGTAAATATCTGGAAACCTTGTCAGTCTAATTGATGGTTTAGCGACTCAATCATGCATGCAAATAATCAGTATAAGCAGTCGAGCAAACCTCCTGCAAACTGAAAAAAATCAATGTCGAATTTACCCCAACACCGACTGAGGTTCAAGCCGTTATCATAGACATGAGTTGGGAGTGTGCTCCCCTTGGTTACAACTTATGTACTCCCTGATAATCACATGAGCGTCACTCACGGTTAATCATCTTGTAAAAACTTATTTGGCCGAGTACATCTTACAGCACCACATCACCTAGTAATGTGACACAGGCTTAACTGATTTCAGTAACTTATAATCACCATATCTCAATTAAGTCGTGTTCCGCTTTATGATAAACTGCATACTTGCAACTAACTTGTATGCACCATCAGCCGGCAAGTATAAATATGAATAAATAGTCTATCGCAGATCAGAACGTTGAGTCTAGAGCATGTCTCTTACGAACACACTCATGTTTAACGATTATTTCCTAGCTATCTGTCCAAAATCCATATAATTATCACTCATGTATTTAAATTTTATTTTGATAACCATTCATGTGTATTAGTAGTATTACTAAATTCTATCATGGTCAAGTAAAAATGAGGTTGAGAAAATCTCCCCGTAACGAAATAAACCGTATCAAACTAACAGGAACACTAGTTGGAATTCTTCTCCACGTTAATACTTTTGTTCTTTCAGTTAGCCTACTAATACAAATGCAATTGGAAATCACATATGGACAGGTTACCGGCATAATTGTAAATTGATTTCATAATTTAAACCAAAACTAATACCAATATTAACATTTCTACAATATTCATTACTTTAATATTTCTAAACACAAAATACTTACTACCTATACGTTAAGTTATTAACCAACATCTATTAACACGCATCGTTTTGTTATTATTATTATTATTATTATTATTATTATTATTATTATTATTATTAATGTAATCCCACTTTTTATAGCTCAAATAATCTTCACCCAGATTTTCATTTCAAGCATGTTAAGCATGAAGACAGATTTTTTTTAAAAATTATTACATGTATTTCCCGACCAGATGCTGCCGCCTTCTTTTTGATTTATCTTTCAGCTTATCAATACCCGGAGGATCCTTATTATCCTTGGTAACCTCCGGCGCGCGACGATCCCATCCAATTTGGTATCGAACCAACATCACGTTGATTCTGGTGGGAGAGTAGTGTAGTGGCATTGAACAATAACCACACAATCCACAAAGCTGTAAACACGAGACTACTCAGAAAATAGATATTCAATATTTAACTCGGGGAAATACCTAACAATGGAGAAGGCGCGGAGAGTGAATTGAATGAATTGAAGTTGATCGGATGGCATGGCTCGACCATGCAGGCGTGGTCCATCTGAATGTTACCTTATATCTTCTATTCATATTGAATATATTGTTCCTTCTCTAGCCTAACCTTGTTCTACATCATGTATTGGTAATTGATACGATACAGTGAGTTGGTGTAGTCGATGGTGTGACTTGCACGTAAGATCTTATAGATTAGGCAGTTATATCATGACAAATCTACAAATTTAGGATTAGGTCTATTATAAGAGCAGTACTAATATCATAGTAGACCATAATTCTACAGTCTCAACAAGTACGAAGCTAACACAAAAATTGCCCATAAAAAGGTCTTGTGTGACCGACCTCAAGCAGTTGTCCCTTTGGCACTGCGGTCACGCTCTCAGGTCACTGAGACCACCTCTAATCCAACTTCCTTTTCAGGTACCTGCAGAAGAACCCTTCCACTGTGTGGGCAACCGGGAAGTGATAACCGTCCTCATACCTCTGATAGCATTCAAGACCACTGTATTCATGATCAACCTCCCTCTTCAACTCCTATTATTCCTCCTACATCGACTTTCAACTCTGAACTTCTTTCGCC